TGTTGCGCTGACATGCCGTCAGGCTACCATGCGGTTTCTGCTAACCTGCTAACACGTTATATTTCTGACACGCTAAGGTGTTTCTAATAGCTTCTTGCTCCTAGTAGTAAGGCCAGGAGCCCCTAGTAGCTTCTTGTTACTACTAGTAAGGCACCTGTTACTACTAGCGTGGCACTTGTTTCTACTAGATTCTTGTTTCTACTAGCTTCATGTTGGTGTGTTGTGTAAATTTAAGAGTGCTGTCAAGGAGATGTGTCGACACGCTGACAGTTGATATGCTGGCGTGGTGTCATGTCGACAAGTTGTCAGACTGTCATGCTGACATATTGTCATACGGGCATAGGTCACACCATACTAGGAACAAAGGGCATCGCTACTAGGAGCAAGGACGCTACTAGGGGCTCCTGGCCTTACTACTAGGAGCAATGTTCGCTACTGGGGGCTCCTGGCATCGCTACTAACATGCTGTCGTGCTACCGGACCGGGCTTACTTGCTGGTGGGCTCCAAAGCCAGTTGCAGAAGAGGTTCAATGGTTTTTGTTTTGTTGCGGAGTGTTGTCATGCTTGCACATATTTAGGCACATGTGCTACACTGACATCCTGTTCACACTTTTGAACACAGCAGGGTCCAACAACCAAACACCACTTGTTAGCAAACTTGCAAACGTCACAAGCTTGTTGACGAGGGCCATTGCTTGATCAGCAAATTCATGCCCAGCTGTTGGGGATAGTTCTTGCTATTCTTGGTTAGAGAAACATGTCTAAAGAAAAAGACGAAAACACCTGTGCTGCTGCAAGACACTAGTCACCGCATGAAACCGTCCAGACTGCCCCGGACCTGTCTGGCATCCAAGTTCCTGTCCCAAACGTGCTTACATGAATACCTCTTGGCATCGTGCGGGTGAGGAGTGGAGCGGACAGGGGAAAAAACAAGATTGCAAACAGTAGATGGCCTCCAACCTACTTGGCTTGATGGCTTCAAGCAGACTTCTCGCAAAAATGCAGGAAAAACAGTGCCCCACTCGATCTACTTACTCTGTTTGGCATGACCCCGAACCCAAAGCCACATTTCAGTGCAACAGTCCTTGTGATCTCGCACGCAGGCCATACACGTGGCACACACTTTGCCGTAGCAAGCCCGCCCCTGCCCTTTAAAAGGAGAGTCCAACCTGACTGTTCCAAAGCATCTTTTTCTCAGTGCAAACACAGACTATCGCTATTAGGTTGGAGGCCCTCGCTAGTAGGTTGGAAGCGCAGCACATGTTTGCACAATTTTGCACATGGCACGGATCGGGCCTCCATAAGAACATCAAGGCTTGTCGTGGCCGTCCTCACCCGAACTGGACGGCCCACCACTCCCCAGTAGCAAGGCCAGGGGCTCCTAGTAGCGTCCTTGCTCCTAGTAGCGATGCCCTTTGCTCCTAGTAGCATCCTTGCTCCTAGAAGTAAGGCCAGGAGCCCCTAGTAGCGTCCTTGCTCCTAGTGCAAAAACAAGCTGAAGCCCACGAACCCGAATGCAAACACGTTCGAAAAGCTACATATGTCCAAATGACACTCTTGTAGGACACTCTTGTGGGACACTCTTGTGGGACACTCTTTTGGGACACTCTTGATACCACAAATCATCCCGCTCACCAGCGACACGCCGCGTTTAGCCACCAAACGCACTTTCCACCAAGGCCGCCCCCAGACTCTCAGAGTTAAACGAGAACCCTTCGCAGACACTCTCGAGAAAAAACAAATCACTCAAATGTGCAACCATAAACGCACCTTCAATGCGAGAAGTAGCTTCTTGTTGCTAGTAAGGCCAGGAGCCCGTAGTAGCCACTTTGCTCCTAGTAGCGATGCCCTTGCTCTTAGTGCAAAAAAAACGCACCTTCAATGCGAGAAGCCATGACTTCGGAAAGCAACGAATGAGCGCCTACGTGACATGCACCATCTCTGCTAGCATGCTGGGTTTTTGCCGGTGTTCTGCACCAACTTCGGATTTTGAATCTAGGAAGAAGAACACTGAGTGAAATTTGACTTCATTTATCGTTGTACTAGGTGATTTGGAAGCTGGCACCATGAAGTCATGTATGCATAGGTCGTTACGAGGGACGTATGTTGGTCACAGAGTTTGTCTGTCGCAGTGCCCGTCGACAGGTCCGGTCAGTTGCTTCCTTCGTCCCGAAAGCGAGGATTTTTAGTAGCGATTCCTAGTTGCGAACATTGCTCCTAGTAGCTTCTTGTTACTACTAGTAAGGCCAGGAGCCCCTAGTAGCTTCTTGCTCCTAGTAGTAAGGCACTTGTTTCTAATAGCTTCTTGTTACTACTAGTAAGGCACTTGTTCCTAGTAGCGATGCACTTGTTCCTAGTTGCGAACATTGCTCCTAGTAGTAAGGCCAGGAGCCTCTAGTAGCGTCCTTGCTCCTAGTAGCGTGGTTGTCGAAGTCTTGTACGAAATGTTCGCACCAAATCTTCCCGCTTGAGTGAGAGATTGCGGAATCTGAGCAGGGGTTGGAGGCCATCACTCTTGGGCTGGAGGCCATCGCTCTTAGGTTGGAGGCCATCGTTGCAATGCTTTCGGCACTTGTTCCTAGTAGCTTCTTGTTACTACTAGTAAGGCACCTGTTACTACTAGCGTGGTACTTGTTTCTAGTAGCTTCCCAAAGGTTTACAAGAAGTGACAACACAACATGCAAAATCACAAAGCAAAACGCAATGGCAGTGCAAAAGCTACCAGAACCTCTCCATGAGAGCACACGCACCTCTTCCTAATAACATACAGGCTAACGTCTCGCAGGGACATGGGATGATATTTTATCTAACACCTCACTAATCAAGCAGCGACCACTCTGTATGGAAATGGCTGCCAGGATTTCTTTTGCGGATCTGATCCAGGACAAGGCGAGCTAAACTCAGCAGCAACTTTTGCCAGGTGGCCTCTTGGGGTAGGAAGGCTGGATGAATTGAACTCAGCTGCATTTCCTCTCCACTAGGAGCATGGACGCTACTAGGGGTTCCTGGCATCGCTACTAGGAACAAGCACGCTACTAGAGGCATCTTCTTCTTCTTCTTCTGTGACCCGGAACCAATGTTCAGAATCTCCTTTGTGAGTGCCTGAACTGAGAACGTTTTTGTTCAATATTTTTTCTGTTTGGTTTTGCTGTCATTGCACAAGTGGTTTGGCATCTGTTTTGGCTTATAGTTTCACTTGTGCGCTTTCCGTGATTGCAATCTGTCTCACATGGTAGCGGAGCATGGCAGCTCCAAAAGATGGTTCACAAGATCCAGGGAACATTCCGTTTGAGCCGGCTCCCCGTCTCCAGCAGCAACAGTTCCAATGTCTAGTGCGAACACTCCTCAGTTGTTTGGTGGCAGTCAGGGTGATGCATTTTCAACACTTCAAGATGGGCTGCGAGCATTTGATGAGGTGTTAGAACAGGGTCGGACGCCTGACAGATATGCGTCCACACGTCGAAGATCTGCGAATCCCTTGCCCCCAGATGATGGACACAGAAGAGTTGAAAGCTCCGCTGAGTGAACTTACCAGGGCACTGTCTGGCCTGACTCAGCGACTTGTCGCGGTTGAGGAGACCAATCGAGCCAGTGCTGGACAGATGGCAGTTCACGCTGGTCGGCTTCAGGGATGGCTAGCTTTGAGCAGCGCCTTCGTGAGTTAGAGCACGCAAGATCCAGTTAGGCGCGTCGAGTTCAGCGCCAGTGGGAGGACACCAGATGTCATTTCCAATGTTTCCTTCGACTGTTTCACCCCCACCTCCTCCGCCAACATCGACACCGGAGATCAGTTGTTGGGCGGCAAGTTCGACACGAAATGGGTGCCCAAATGCTCACTCCTGGATGGCAGGCAGAACTGGAAAGGACGAATCTCAATCTCGTCTTTGTGGACCTGGATTGATTCCTTAGGCAGTTGGCTCTCACATCTTCACCCTCGGTCCTGAAATCAAGGAGAGTTTGGACAACACGCTCTAGGTGGAGGAACCAAACCAGAACCATCTTCAATCCCAGCCAGGTGGCAACCTCTTGTCCAGGACATGTTGAGAACCACCCCAAACTCCACTCAAACCATCAGGTTGTCCCAAACCATCAGGTTGTCCTACTGCGCCCGCACTGCTGTTGGTTAACGCACTGCTGAACAGGCCCATACTGTGCCCACGCCTGTTACTGCTCTCCTTCCAGGTCCAGAACGCCAAGGATCACAAGCACAAGGTGGACGGAGTGCGTCAGTCTCAAAACGGGTGCGGTTCACCACTCAGACCATCCTCAGTGGGGCTGGACGAAAGACGGAACATGACAGAGACAGCAACCGTTCATGTTTCAACAGCAAGGATTTGATCCTGTGCAGCAACAAGATCCATGGAGACTTTCCTGTTCTGACAGTTGCAGCCAGACGGTACATAGCCTTTTTGGAAACCTGACAGCTGGTTCAGTTTATGTTCTTCATGGAGGAATTTCTTCAGATAGCTATTAGACAGCTTCACCTGGTGGAAGCTTTGGCGATGACAACGCCGACAGGTGACCAGAGCTGTGCGGGAAGAGTTTCTGTGAATCAGTTTCAAGGTTCTTCTTCCTGGAATTCACCACAGTTGGAAGCAACTTATGGGTTAGGAGTGTGGATTTCAGCAAGGAGTTTTACCACCTGTTGGGACTTGGGAGAATGGAGGTTCACACCCTGCTCATCCCTGCTCCATTTCTCATTTGCTTCAATAGAGTCTAGAGGCAGGCTTGAGCATCAATTCGTCGAACCCTACGATTCCCTGCGGTTCATCCAATTTTGCAATGGAATTTGCTACGATCTGGAACTCAAAGTTTACTTGAACGATTTGCATATTTTTCTTGCATCTGCAGCAAAAAAGGTCTGATCCCTAGTATATCCCTAGTTTTTGATTGGATTTCGATTCACATATGTTCTAAGTCAAAGAAACTGAGAGTCATTCCCGTTAAATACCAGCATGACATAGACCGGCTTGAGCATGCAGTCAGCAGGACACTTTTCTTTCGCATTGCATTTTGCTACTCGAACACATTGGTTGGCGCAAAGGATCCAAAGGGCAGCGTCTCTGTTGGCCACTGTGCCTGGCTGTCAGTGCGAAGCTGAAGGCCCATACGAAGCGAGAGAACAGGGCATTCTCCCACATCGGGTTGGACAAGTATCTATGCAAAGGCAGTTGTGTTTTTATTTTATCGTTCTCTTTCGTTTCTTGTTTTTCTGTTTTACTGCTTTTAAAGCCCGGGGGAATAGGCCGTAAGAGGCAGATAGTAGAGGCTTAAGTAAGCTCCTAAGCAAGATGCAGGATAGCTCACGCTTCTTCGAAGAAGCTCCCCCCGCCTGAGGGCGGGGGTGAGCTTCCATGAAGAAGCGCTCACACTAATCATTTCGTTCCAAGATTTTTAGAAACAAATCTAACCCCAATAATCTCTGCTCAACTCTAATCATGTGTTGGCTCTAGTTGTTCTACGGGTTTGAGATGCCGAATATTTCGGTACGTGACCTCTGCCATAGAGCTTAAAGCGATACTTCAGCCAAGGGCACTTGCGCATTGGAACATTGTCAACATTGTCAACATATGTGGCTAGCCCGCATGAAGTGGCTGCTAATGTTGTGTGCATGATCCTGCAAGGAGATCAACGAGGTGATGATTCGATTTGATTCAACAAAATAGCAATGGCCTCCTATTAGTAGTAACAAGAAGCTACTAGGAACAAGTGCATCGCTACTAGTAACAAGTGCCTTACTAGTAGTAACAAGAAGCTATTAGGAACAATAAGCTACTAGGAACAAGTGCATCGCTACTAGTAACAAGTGCATCGCTACTAGTAACAAGTGCCTTACTAGTAGTAACAAGAAGCTAGTAGAAACAATAAGCTACTAGTAAGTTTCCCTAAAAGGTCCAGGAACCAAATCATCAGTGCGAGCGCTTCTTCAGGGCGGCGGGGGCAGCTTCCTTGAAGAAGCGTGAGCTTTGCTACTTGTTAGCTACTAGTGACTCCCGTTTGCTTCTACTAGCTACCCCTAGCTAATCTACCTCTTCCTCTTAGTGGCCTAACCCCCCCTTTTGAAACATGGCCAGCACGGCTTTGGCCCAAGATTGCCGTAAGCCTTTGTTTTGCCCACTTGCAAGCGATCAACAGGCTGGTGACACTTAGATGGAACTATTGCGCTGGTCTTCGAGAACTTGAGACGTGGACCTGGCATGCCCCTGCTGTGGATTAAGTGCTAATGGTTCTCAAAAGTTTGTTTCTCTCACTTTGAAGATTCCTCGTAAAAAGGGGCTTGAGAAGACTTGAGCAATTGCATTCGAGAGTGATTTGATTTTCGCATCAGATCTGTGCGACGTGAGCCAGTTTGCCCAACGTTGAATGACAAATGGTTTCCCTGTGTGCAGTTCTCACTTAATCTTGTTGGAGGTCCAACATCATCGAATAAGAGCCGTCAAACCTATTGAACCAAACACATAAAACAGTTACAAATCGCTATTCAATTAGGTTGGAGGCCATCGCTATTAGAAACAGATAAAAGGAAGAAAGAAGGCCATCGCTACTAGGGGACCCTAAGGGAAGAGAATGTGAACATCTAAGTGCTTGATCTGATGGCCTCCAACCTGCAAGAAGCTGGACACAAGTTTCTTTGAAGACCACGAAGGACCGCGTACGACAAAACGGAAACTTGCCGAGAGTGCCCTCGCCACTCACATCAATGATCCTTGGACATGCTGTCAAGCAGGTGGAACAGTGTCACACAGAATGGATGCTGGGCTCCAGGCCCAAAACCTCCACATCAAGATTTCTGTCTGGTACCTCAAAAGGACTGCCGGAAAATGACAAGAAAATGAAAACAATATCATTCTCTCTTGTTACTAGTAGCTTCTTGTTCCTAGTAAGGCCAGGAGCCCCTAGTAGCTTCTTGTTCCTACGCAAAAACATATTGCAAGGTCCAGTTTCAAGTCTCAAGCTGGAGTAGAGTAGCGACATGGACGAGGAGACTTTCAAACAGGTCGGAACCTGCTCGAAGAGGGGTTCTAAGCAAGTGTTCTGCCGGTCGATTGGTACAAGGTTCTTAGTTGATAAGAAGAAACGGACAGCACATGTAGAATATAGAAGACAGTCCAACAAATGGAGACGCAAGCTGACATGCAAAACACAAAGACTGGCAAAAAGCAAACAAACGTTCATATCTCTATGTCTATATATATGGCACCCCCCAGGACCCCCATTGAAAACGTCATTGAGATGACTTTAAAGTAAAGACAAGGGTGGTACAATATACACAAACAAGTATTTGTTTTCCTTGGACCCTTGGCTTCCAAAAAATGTGGGCATCTTAGATCTTAGAACATGAAAGGTCTTAAGATCAACCTAAGACCAAGTCTCGACACTAAAGTCTCTGGAGTAAAGCTTCCATAGAAGGTGTTTGTACTAAATTTGCTGGAGGTGATCTAGAGTCTCAAGCATGTTTCCTTGAAGGCCATTGCTACGACACGATCCTCTACTTAACTGGGCAATCCCCCTACTCAAGCTCATGGGCTTGCTTGCTCCTCTTATGCAGCTCTTTCTCTACACTTGATTTACACTCATGTGTTCATTTTACTATTCCTCTCCCTCCCAGTCTCAGTTAGGCTATACACTTCTTGTATACTTTTGTCTATGCTTCTGACACATCCAAAACGTGATTTAGTGTAGTCGATGAAGAAAACACCAATAGATACGAGGAAAATCATAGTAAAGCTTTTATGGTGGCCACTTCTGAAGGGTGAGCTCTCCGTCGTCCGTTCCCCAGTAGCTGCCAGTAGCTACTACCTCTTACTTGTTAGCTACCACCGCTACAAAAGAAATGACAGCAAAAAAGAAAAAACAAACAGCAAAAACGTTACCAACACATTCACAATAGCTAGTACTCCAGCTCTATACCAAAAAACAAACAAACATACTGAGCCCTTCTGCATCCGTGTTGCTTAGTAAGCTTCCTCAATACTATATTACTATATTAGTAATACTAATTACGCAATACTCATACTCAAAATTAAAGCCACCTCTCCAGCTTCAGGTCAAGTCACATTGTGGCTCAATGCCAAAATCTCTGGTGCAGCATGGAAAACCACGGCCACATTGGTCGGATTCTCTCGCAAAAAGTTTCCGTGCACAGCGTGGCATTCCACCTTCAAACCATCCACCTTGAAACTGCGCAAGGCGTGAGGAGGCGTGAGTTGAAGGTGTTCTTTCAATGTCTTGTTTTTGGAGTTTTCTGTCTTCCTTGGCAAGTCGAAACTGCAGAGTTTGTCTCACTGCTTCAGTTAGTCTCGGCAGCGGAACATCGGGCAACACGAGGGAACGTTGCAAACTGCATCAACAATTTGTTCGAACTGGAGTGAAAGAGCACAATTTGGTTCCTGGATTGAACACGCACTACTAGGTTGGAGGCCATTGCTAGATATTGCTAGTAGGTTGGAGGCCATCGCTTCTAGGTTGGAGTGAAAGAGTCTCCTGGATTGAACAAGCACCTTGTGTTCTTGAAAGCTGGGCACCTCCAACTGACGAGTGAAGCTGGTCCAGCTGGTGATGAAGCTGTAGCGGCCACGGAAAAAGGGCCTCAGGAATGATCTAAACCTCACACTTTACGGGTTTCAAACACCATACACAGCCAACACACCCAAACGGCACACTATCCTGCTGTGGATAGCATGGACAAACATTAACTTTAAGCACTACGTTCTGTGCAATAGTGACAAGCTCCTTCACTCCACCCGTTTGAAGATTGAAAGAACTAACTTCTCTGTCACGTCTGTCCATCTAACTGAGGATGAAGCCAGCACGGAATCTCATTCTCGTTGTAGTACTCCAGTTTTGAAAGACTTTCTCTGATTGCATTGGGATCGGAAGCTGCTTGGTGATCCATAGGGAACGAGTACCAATAATTCCCGGCCACATTGCCTGGGATCCCTTTTCCGCTGCATTGCTTCTCACGCATGTTCACGGCGATATTCATGATGTAAGAGTTCTTGATCGCACGACTAAGAGCTGCAGTAATGATATCGTTGGACGAAAGAAACTCGACTTTTGGAGCTTTTCGACTTTCCTTTTCTTTGGCAATCTGCTGTTTGGAGAGTAGAAGAACATGATTCTGGCGCAAAGGACCGCAGATCAGTTGAGCCAACCAACCGAAAAATCCCCAGGTGGACACCTTCTGACGGTCTTTCAAAGACAAAGGCAGCAATTCAAAGCTTTGTCGAACAGGACTCTCCCAGTCCAAAGTGTTCGGTGTTTGTTTGGCTAAGAAAGCATTCAATTGACCAACCAGGTCATAGAGGGTCTTGGCATCGCCCACCAGATGCGACAAGTGTATGACGAAGCACACAAAAGGCTCTGGAAATGTCATCAGCTCCACCAAAAAGACTTGGGTTCCGTTCTTCACCGTGGTCAATGCTGTCCCAGGTGGCGTGAAATGCTGCTCAAGGTTTCGCAGAAATTCTAGCTTTCCTTTCAAATCAAGGGAACCAATCAAGGGACCTGAGCTATGTCACCACAGGACCAAGGGCACAAACATTCAATGAGACTTAACACTAAATCAAATGTACGAAAACAGAGAAAATAAGCATATAACCTTTGTACTTGTACAACATAAGCCAAGGCGCACTCTTTTGGTGGGTCCACTACTTTGAAGAAGCAATCGGAGTGAGCTCCAGGTTCCACCAGCATCCGGCCATCTTTCTTCACTACTCGAGCTGACAGGAACGGGTTGGCTTCCACCAGCTTGTCGACACCAGCTTTCAGCTCTTTGCTCAGCATCCTAGATGTACGTGTCACAAACTGAGGGAGACACATTTTGTCAGAC